TCAAAGACAGACTCTTGAACAGGACAAAGGCCCTTTGTCGCTGACATGAAGCTCTCCAGGGTTTCCAGCGTTAATCTGGCCAAGCATGAATAATGTGGTAAAATGAAGACCTTCATTCAAAAGCAAAAGTCTGGAGCTCAAAGTCTTGTTCAAATCTATTGATCTATTTGTCTGATTATCGTTAGTTACAGACAAATCCAAACATCATCAGATCTGTGTTTGATTAATGTGCATGTCTCCCACGTAATGTAACTATTCAGTGTGCAGCAGAAAGTGACCAGCAGTAATCGAGTAACATCTGATTGTATTCAGCAGAAGTGCTTCCACTGAGTGATTTTCCTCCTGGCTGTGCTGCGGTACACTGTACACCCAGCAGGCTCTGTTCATACGCAGTGGCGGGTGTTAAACACATCCTGCTGTCTAGTGTCAGTTTACCGCGTGTGCTGCTGTTGGGATGTAGCCAGCTTACTCCCGATCACGTTCCCCTTAAATAAAAATTACTTCATCACTTTAGTAGTTGTCAGCCCTCGCTAATCTTCGTTTTCACATTTTCTCTTGGAGAGGTTCTGTAATTTCACCCAAGGAGGATAGACGTAAGCTGTTGGTATAAGAACTGATAGTTCACACTTTGTTTCCACCTTTCTCCCCACTGAGTTCCACACCAAACGCTCGCTAGTAGAATCACCTTTTGTGATTCATTTAAATGAGGTGACAGTGAAATGTGAACTCTCTTCAGGAAGATTACTGGTGACTGTGATCTTTTCACAGTGTGTGAGGTGTTTATTATAGTCTAAACTTTACAGAATTAAAAATCAAAGTCTTCAGATTTTTTCACCGACCTGTGGTTTTATTGTTGTCAGTCACTTTTTTATAAAATTACTTCTTGCAAGTCTCCTCATGACAAAAGTGTGCAGATTATATCGAAAACAAGGATCTGTACATGGCACAAGTGTTAAAAAGAGTGAAATGGTAATTAATCAGAATAGAATATTGAGGATCTCATAGGTCCTTTCAAGCTAATAACCGTGAGCTTTGGTGCTAGCAAGGTAGATGTTTGCCTTTTTTGCCCCTTTTGTATTTGAATCTTGGTAATACTGAATGATTCTGGCAGTAAAAACAAAAAAATTCTTACAGTTTCTTCAACATGGACCATTGTTGTCTACAGTGATTAGCAAACCTGAGCGTCAGTCAGTGCATGAAAGTGTAAGAGGGTTCAGACGGGATGCCAGCAGGGGTCTTGAGGCCTCACGGGTGCTTTGTGGAGGCTATAACAGACAGTGAGGAGCATGGGTGTTGACAGGGTCCCAAGTGAGTGCTGTAATGCGCTGTTCATCTCCATTTGCAGTGCGGTTTTTGGAGCCGCTTGCATGAGTGCTGTGGGTGGATGCTTTCTGGTGTACTAAAAAACACCACCGTTCACTGTTCTCCGTTTACCATCACCTTTGCCTAATGTAGCTCTGTGAAATGTGAAGCTTGTTTCTAATCACACTGCTTTTTTTATTTTTTAAATTAAAAGTGCATCTTTCATTTAAAATATGTGAAGTCTAATCTGTATTTCTGATGCTTCATAGGGATGCTAATTAACAAAACTGCTATAAAAAGGACTTTATCACGCATGCATTAGTGCAGTAATAAAGTGATCTTTGTGTGTGAGTGCATATTGCATGTGTTTTAAGTGCTCTGAGAAATAAAAGGAGCTCTTTTAACTCTACACTTTTTTTTTTTTACACCTTATGTATTTACACATCAGACATCTGAACCGTCTGCTTGCCCTCTGCAGTCTGACCACAGGATGTGCTGCTGCTTTGCGCCATTGTGGAGTTTACATGCTGTCTTATTAAACTTACTCTTAAAGGAATGATCTGTTAAAGTTGCAAAATAAGGAACCTGCAGCTTGAAAAGTGTGTGTGTGTGTGTTATATCATTTTAAAATTTAAATTCTTCCTTTAAAAAAATGAAAAAGAAAGCGCTCTCTTATAACATACAGTTTGGAATCGCACACACAGTAGATGCAAGTGAGTTCTATTTATCAAATACCAGCATCTCCTTGAGAGGGAAACAGATTGTGTACTGGGCTGCTACAGACTTCATCAGGTCATCTGAATTGATGATACATGTTGCAAGGGAGCCCGTTTCCCCCGGAAACCTCTGCTGGAGCGCATGCTGGCAGAGACGGGGGCCTCAGCCAAGTCTGTCTGACTGATCACTACAGATGCTCCTCTTCAAGTATTCCGAGTCAGATCCTTATTGCTGTGTCTTGAGGGACAAACAATAGCACCTGTTCCTCATAAGATAGCCCATTCATGTATCTTTAATGAAGCCTGGGGGCAGATGGTGTGAAATGACATTATCCAGTACTTAGCAGCGCTAAGACAAAGGAATAGCACTGCCAGCATAACAATGCTGCTGTATTTATGAGGGAAAGGGAGAAGGCTGTCTGAGCGCCCCACTCACATCTGCTCCACTTCATTCCCCCACTCCTCAAGATCATCTTGGCATTAGAAATATCCTGGGCTCTTCGCCCATGGATAGATGGACTTTCGGGTAACTCTTATAAAGTGGGCGGGATGATGGAGTTGTAGAAACAGAGCAGAGTGCAAGTTAAACATCCATGTTGATTTCCTTAAAGTATACTTTATTTTTCTGCCACGCTGCTTTAAACAGTCGATTCTAAAAATAAGGGACTCGTGAAAATATTATAATCTGCTAAGCCACTGTGCCAGCTGTTAATTGACAGCTCAGCTAACCTCCTCTATTTGTTGCCACCTTTAAGCCGCTCAGAATTTGATTTGCCTTTCTCTGACATTAGCCGCTGTAAATTAAACTTTAATGCATCGAGCTCATTACCGAAAATCACAACCATTCAACTTCATTGCATTTATTTCCCCTTCAACGCACAGTTCGGATCTGTCTTGCCTCAATGAACCTTGTATATTTGCCCCATATTTTAGAGTAATAATAGTAATAAAAGCTTATATCCCAGATGAAATTATATCATTTAGAGTTTATCATTTGCGTTTGCTGGAGAAATGCATACGTGTATCAAAAATGCTTGTGCTGATGTCTCTCATTATAGTGTGTGTATAAAGTGTGGATGGCCTGCATACGTCCCTTAAACAATTTTGCGGTATTATTTAATGTACTCAGAAAAAACACTTTAACTTTAAATTTAAAATGTGAAGTTAAAAAAATGAAGTGCTGATTTAAAACACCTTTAAACAACTGATGCATGTTAGCAAACTCCTGAAATATGAACTACCATGCAGCGCACTTAAAGGGACTTGAGGGAGCCCTTTTCTGCCCTGTGACTGCTGCACATTCAGCACCAGACTCCATCTGTTTTAACAGTCCAAATACACAGGCAGAGAAAAGCTGTGTGCCCCTGCCTGTCACTGGCCCCACCTCATGTTGTGACATTAATTATTGTGTTTTTCCATATGTTCCATACATGCAAGGCCAAGCTCGATCTTTCACTCGCTCAGCCTGGAAACTTGGAACACAAATCCCCATAAAGCAATGTTTTATTTAAGGACATTTGTCGCAGTCTCCTTGGCCATTTATTTTTTCTTCAGCAACAGCACATTTTACAAAATTACTTTTCTATTCTTTTATAATGCACTTTCTGCACTTGCACTTCCATAAACGCTCAGTAGGCATAAAATTCTTCTATTTATTTAGTTTTCAGTCTAGCTTTGCACCTCTGGACAGATCAATAAAGTTGTTTAAAGTAGGTTTAGCCTGCTAGCTCCGAGAGAACCTGGGTGCAACTGCTCCTGTAGAGGGTCTACAGGGGGAGCAACCCCGACTGAAAAGTGGAGATCATAGCAGAGCTCAGCCATAACACGGGACAGGTTGATTTCATGCCCCAATGCAGCGGCAGTAATTGCACCCAGGCCCGTTTTATTGCGAGTTGATTTTAAGGAGGGATGAATGGAGAAACATTCTGTAAAGTGTTTATTTTGGGGGATGACCTTTATTAACCCATTTCCAGGCAGGTTCCCCCGAGGTGATTTGGCTCAGCCCTAGATTAACCCTCACAGGCCCATGGTAGCCAGGCTGCGCCCTATCATGGAGTTTCAGGAAGCAGAGAGTGACAGTAAAATTGGACTTGCAGCATGTGTGCAAACCCCCACACAGCACTTTTGATACATAAGCTACTCACCCACCCTTGACACACAAATGCGGGGAGTTTGTACTGATATCCCCAGTAGGCGAGTCAGCAACAGGCTGCATGGTGAAGGTTAATATGTGAGTTGAACACAGACTGGGAAAGACATTAAGATGAAAAAGAACAAGCACTTTTCAATGGCCTGCAATTTTCACTCCTAAAAGCAGTGACATTAAATTTCTGGATGTCTTTAGCTTTTTCTAATATGAACAAATGATCATCCAGGATTCTGTTACAAGTTAAGCTTCCCTTGAGGTTTTTGTGTCGTCATGCATCTACACGCTGATCGGTTCTGGCACTGCATCTGCATCAGACGTTAAACAATCTTCTTGCAGAGTGTAACAGCTAGAAAGTTGGTTTACTACAGGTCTTTAATAAACATGGCATACTCATCAGTGAGTGCTACGGTTCTCTTTGACCTTAGGTTTTATTAAAACCAAGCACGCTGTACATCTTTGATATTCGGAGTTATCATTTTATAGATTTAATACTACTTTCAACACATATACTGCTTGCCACAGAATCCATACAAAACTATTGCGCCTCTCTGCTTTCCATCCTACAGCACATGTCACTTACTCTAACTTATGCTGTAACAATGTGTGTATGCGGGCCTTTGATGTGCCGAGGTGAAATTGTGGTTTGGATTAAGAGCAGGCGTAGCTCAGCCAGGTATTGTGTGAGCACACGAGGGCCGTCATTGCCGCAGAGACCCCTGTCAGCACGCGTTAGCAAGAGCTGTGATCTGGCCTCCCCCTTAGTGGGCTCTGTGTTTCTGTGTACTATGCCAGTGCTTAGGCCTCTCTCTGATCTCTGCTCCCTATCTGTTCAGCAGGTCCAGGGTCACATGCCTCCGCTCATGATCCCCATTTTTCCACACGACCAACGCACTCTAGCAGCAGCAGCTGCCGCCCAGCAAGGCTTTCTCTTCCCTCCAGGAATGTCTTATAAGCCAGGTACGCTTGCAAATTTAAGCCATTTTGGTCATATTGTCCTTCTTTTCTCCCTTGCTTGCTTTGTCTTCACCCCCTTTGTGCTTTTAACCACAACTATAATTTTCAGTCTGGAAGCTGTTAGACTTTAATGCTTCATTCACACTCTGGCTGCTGGCATGCTCTGCTGTGTCTGAACACAGATTTGAGAGCAACGCCTGGGAATGTTCTTGTCCATGTGGAACAATAGATATGGGTGGAAAAACAGAGGAATATAAACATGTCATCGGCATGAAAGTATCTTTCAGGAGTGCACTGGCTATAATAGTTTTTTTGTTTTCAAAGTATCTACTGTCAGAGATCCAAGAACATGGGAGACGAACCCTGCAAGAAGTGCTTTCCAAATCTATTGTAATAAAAAAGCAACTCCCCTGTTACAGTTTCACACAATTATACCCTGTTATAGTCAGATTAAGTCATTAAAACACAGTTAGGAGTTGGATAGTCTGTACATGATGCAAGAACAGGTTTTTCTGTACAATTACTGTTTGCGCTGCCTGTAACGGCATGCCTCACTTGCTTCCTTTGTATTATGGAAACATATTTTACACATTGTAAAGTTTTCCACGTTACAGTATGTACTTAGTCCCAGGGCAAGGTTATATATACATATATTTAAAAAAAATGGTTGTTTTGTTACGCACATCATTTATTTAACAAAATTCAGCTGAATCTTGTCCACTGAAAAAGGTTTTCCCATTTTCACCCCAAGGCAAAAAAAGTGTTTTTATGTTGATGAAACCTTGAAAAAGAAAAGTCTTTGTCTGAAGAGGACTATAAACAGAAAACTGAGAAGAGTAAGAAGTCAGCAGGTTTGCAACACAACATTAAAAGGTGTGGTAGTGCAGTTAATGAATTAACTATAAAACCACAGGATGAAAAAGAAAGTCAGCTATTTTTGAACTATGGAGCCATGACAGCTTAAACAAAGTGCCTGAGGGGGAGTCTTTTACCAGTGTGCTTTTTGCAATAGGTTTGACACGGAAAATGTTTTAGTTCAAATAACAGGAGCTATTATGGAATCATGTTCAGGGGTCACCATGTGCACGGGTCTTGCATAATTCATGAGCTCATGAAGAAATAGCAAAGGAGGTCTGAAAATGACTCTTGTAGTCAGAAGAGGTATTTTCAAAGCCTTTATTATTTCTTCCCTGTCCAACACAATATACACAATATATCCAGAGAGCACAATGTTATCATCACCACCTGCAGAGTGTACAGGATGCTTCTGTGTCCTTTCTCCATGAAGTGAGCGGTGAAGCATTTACTTCCAAGACTAAGGCACACTAATCTGATGTTATCATTATGAGACAGCTCCCAGGGACCACTGCTTATGACCCCCAAACCTGTGGTGCTCTCATGGCAACAGATTCATTTTGGCACCGTAGTGGTAAGTCATCACCCCGTCCACTGGCTGTGCTCAATGGCCTGGTGCTGCATGGTAGGCAGGCACAGTCATAGAGACACCAAGTCATCGCTTAAACAAATAGATATATAAGTTGGACTTCTTAGCCTGTTTGCACTGTTTACACAGACATGGCAGCATTCAGTCTGAGGTGCCTTTAATGGAGCTGGAGAATGACCCCATAGTCTTTAGTCTCTGCCAGTCGCCCTCATAGGTATCCTGCTGACAGTTGATAGTTTTCTCATGCTATCTTATTTTATTTTGTTTTATTAGTTGCCAGATTTAAACTATTCTGTCTTTGTAGTGTTTGTTTTTCAAGTCATTCAAACTGGATGTTTACTCTTTATGAGTAAGTTGTATGAAGAAGGATTCTTTTTATGTGTGCAGAGTGTGTGTCGCAGGTTCCATTGCTAGACTTAAAGATCTGCAGGGCCTCAATCAGGGATTACTCAAATCACAAAGATATTTCTTGGTATATTAAAATGTACTATATATTGCTACCTCAAGCCCCGTTGCTTTTGCTGGGTTTGGCATTGGGCTGCAATACTAAAAATGCAAAGACATTTAATTTTTATTAACAATATTTATTTGTGATCTTCTGCTTTTCACAATACAAACAAACCATGATAAAACACTGTATATACATATGCAATCTAAGAGAAAACAAAATATTCCTCTAATGTTTGAGAGCACGTCTCATGTCCAAACAGAGTTGCTGTCTTTTTCATTTTGGCAAAGTTAATGTGACTCAACTTCCAGTCAGGTTGTGCTATTATACAGTAATCTTGATTCTTGTTTCATACAAAGTACAGATCCAAGGATTACTGCTTGAAATTCTTTGGAGGCACCAGCAAATGCACACCTCAGCTTGTATTTTGGGTTAAACTGCTGCTGCAACATTTTGGATTAGAAAAAACTTGTTTTTTTCCTGTTACTTTCAGTGTAGTTAAATCCAATGCCAACTGCAGAAGCTTGGTAAAACTCAAACGTGAGATTTTACTGGGGTACAGCAGATTAATGATGGGGCACATACCCCTGTGAAAAGGGTTCAAGCGATGCCTATGTTCCATTTTTTACTCGGCAACAGTTCATTTGTTCTCCTTCACATTGTTCACATTGCTCGGAAACCTAAAAATTGCAACATTGAACGTGAAGCTGGTTGACTAAGTGAGTTTCATTAATCACAACCTGAGTCATATAAAAATATACATAATCACTATCTGTAAGCACTTAATTGGAAGCATCCTGGAGCACTTTGTCTGGACTGGCACAACAGCAATACAAAAGCATCCCCTGTCATTTTTGCCCCCATAAAAGCCTGATTTCTGTACTGTGTCATTTCTGTGGGTCATTTCTGTACTGTTAGTGTTAACATCACGTGAGACAACGATAAATACTATTAGATAAGTTACTTTTTAGATTTAAGGCATATATTTTTGCGTGTCACAGACAAAATGACAAACCAGCTCCCAAAAATTGCAACAAAGTCACTTGTAAATGTAGCTCAGCTAGTCACTGTTCAGAACAGCTATGCTATAAATGACAATGCAATGTGGGATCTTTGTGTCTCTCCTACGATGCTCTCAAATCTAAACAACAAAGTGCTTTACTTGTTTCAAGTTAAAGGAAACTTAAAAGCTGGTGAAAAAAGATGATCAGGTTTGACAGTTGCAGTCATTCATTCATAATTTGATCTACCCTAAGAAAGGTTTCAGCTACATCTGTCAACCCTCAGGAGATCTACGACTTATTTCTTGGCACCACATGAGGGGGGAAATATAGCCTGTTGTGACTATGGCGTCATCAATACGACCCCCCAACCCCTCTTAGTGTTTAGAATCCAGGCTCTCAACAGCAAAGCAACAAGGACCCTTTTTTTTCTTTTTTACAAAGGAAGTAAAACATTTTAAATGCTTTTCCTTTTCGTTACGAGGGGTGCTAACCTGCAGGAGTTTACATTCTGTTGGAGTCTGGTGCCTAGACACAGACTTTGATGACCCAAGTCCCAGACTTTGGAGTCTCAAGATCCCTCAGCAGTCGTCGTGCAGCACATGACCCTCCCCAGGTTTCACATGACATCTAAAGACATTCAGCCATTTATTATCCCCCAAACCCTACGTCACAGACAGCAAATGAGACCCCCCCCCCCCCTACATCCAACTTAGCACTATTTGAAACCACTTCTGCTATGTGATTTTATTTGCTACTAAATGGGGATTGGATTTCCATGGCCTGTATCACATTGTGCTGTGCTGTACAAGATTGCAAAGTGAGGCGGGCGGACGAGGGCAAAGTGAAAGAGAAGGTGTATACATTTGCCTTGTCTGTGGCTTAATGGCTCCATATGTTTGTGAAGAGAAGTGACAGCCAGAAGTGGGGTCTGAGCGAAGGCCAACTACCCCTCCCTGCTCTCGCAGTGCACGCCATCACCCCTCCTTCAGATTCATGCCTCAAACCTACCTCTCCCGTCTATGAATGCTGTGCTTCCCAGTCTCACTGGGGATGTTCTCTCCGTCTCAACACACAAGGTTGACCGTGTAAAGGCTTCTGCAACCCTATGGATATCACTCACGCTGCAGCCATTTTTATATCCCTGTGTAACAAATGTGCTGATGGTGGGCCAACAGTAATGAATACTGCTGCTATTTGGAGATTATTTCCTCCTTGCTTGATCACAGTGGCATATGAGATAAGAATGTGGTTTTTTTTTAACCAGTGTTATTGTGACAGCACACTTGTTCTAACCAGTTTGCATACAAGTGCTTCCACTCTGTTGCCAAAGCTATCACTCAGAAACAAACAATGTGGCACTGAACAATAACCAGACAAGTCTACAGCTGTATGAATTGCCTGAGAGAACATACTGGTCTTTTACAAAAGCACTAACTGAATACCAAGGGAGATATTTAGCATCTAATCAGAACACAAACACACGCACACTCAAGCACACCTTTAAAGAATCCCCACCTTGTTTAACAGTGTCTTATTTACTGTTGTCAGGGGATTTGTAGTGCACAGGTGGAGTAAAAAGGGAATGGTGTGGAACTTTCGTAAGTAATTCTGCTCTTGTTAAACCCCCGTAGGCTTTTTGTTAATGCAGATGTTTGGGCTTGAAGCCGAGCGTTCGTTGCTGTTCGCCACATTTCTGTGGCAAAAGTAGTGGAGGGCCCAGAATCCGTGTTGGCACTTGCCTGGTCGCTGTGGGCCGGCTCATTGTCTGAACCTGTATGCATTGTTGTCTCTTTCTTTCTGTCTCTGACAGGTGATAACTACCCGGTGCAGTTCATTCCATCCTCAGTGGCAGCTGCAGCAGCGTCAGGACTCAGCCCCCTCCAGCTTCAGGTATGTACAGTACTATGACAAAGAATGTTAGCGACGCTCGCCAAGCTCAGGGCAGAAAGGATGGCTAAGCAGCTGTACACTAAGTAATGAGGCGCACACTAAATAATCCTGGAGGCCCCAAGCTCACGCTCGCTTATCACCTTACGTATGTAATTCATCCCATATGATAGAGGTTTCATCCCCACCAGCTCAGCCAGAGAGTTAGGAAGATAATAGTTATTAGAGAGAATGAAAATCACTTTGGTTGCATTAATCACCCACCAGTGAATTTATCGGAAGACAACAGGCTGCAAAAAAAATCTCTTTCCTAATGCTTTCATCTAGAAAACGACTGTGCTATTTACAGTTTATCTCTTTGTAGAAAACAGCTAAGAAAATTATTAAAATTAGTCTAATAAAAAAATGTGTGAGAAGAGGATTCGAGCAACGAGAAATGTTGAGAGAGGCTGTGAGCCCTACGGGCTGCTCCAGGACTTCTCTCACTCAGCGTTTAAGAGCTAAACCTAGGTCAGGGCTTAACCTGAGGCCATAATGTTTAATGTAGATAATTATCTGTGTTCTATTATTCAACTTATCGCTATTATAAATAGTAATAAATATAAATAGCTAATGAGAAATTTTAAATAATTACTTCCCCCCCCCCCAACTTTTCACTGATTTTTATTTCCATTAAAAAAAACAAAACCAATGGAAATCTGAACATTGCTGATTGTTGCTTCTCTAATTATGATTTTTCTTAGTAGTTCTGAGTAATTGTAGAATTTCTGTCTGGAAATCTTAGTTGTAGTTCTTTGGAAACAAAAGCAGCAAACAAAGAATATAAAAGTATCCTACCCAGCATATGGTTAAGTGGCCACTGCTGCTTTATCAACAACACCAGTAAGTTATTTTACAGCTACAGAATGTGATGCTAAACAGCAGAAAGAAGTAAACCACGAGTGAAAAGCTAAGCTCAAGACTAAGGGGAGACTCTTTGCACACTGATATATGTGGCATTTGTCCTTCAGAAGCTACCACTGTCAGTGTTAACGAGCCTTGGCAAGTTCGAACAATGCACGCAGCTGGCTCTGAAGAGCCGTGCGTCATTATGCATCCAGGAGAAGAGCTATCAGAAGCATGTAAGGTGTTAAATGAGTCTGTTCATGTTTGAGGATGCGTGTCTGTGAGTGTAAAAGATGGAAGCTGCTTTTCTGAATATCTTTCTGGAGTACATATGCGTGGCTTTGTGTGTCATAGTGAAGTTTATTGGAAAGGAGTGTCAGTTCAGACAGGCATACTCAGCCTATTTATAGGGGTGTATGAGGTCAGATGAAACAGTCGTATATCTGAAGGTTGGGGTAAGAACGGGAGACGGGTCTAGAGTCATTAATTCTGACTATGTATCTAACCCTGGGAATGGGCAAAAACAGTGCCTCCAAGACCATGACTTGGCTGACCTTTACAGAACACAGTAAACAAAAAGAGGTGCATTTTCCATTAATTGAAGTCTGTCAGCCTGTCACATATTCCGCCTGCTGGCTGCTATTTACCCTGCATAGAGATTCCCCTTAAAACAGTAAGGCTAATCAAACATGCCCTTTTCTGCATAGCTGGGATCAACAAACCATGTGACTGCCACCACTTCCTCTACAAAGCGCTGGGAGCCTGGTATGATTAAAACCATCATCTCAACCCAGTCATGGAATTAAGTTGGAGTTGTTTCCTCTCTTTTCAAACCAATAATACCACCAGCAACTTCCTTCATCGAAATTAAACTACTGAAAAGTGTCCTTAAATAAATGCCTGTTTGTGACAGAAGGGACCAATGTGTAGAAAGGAAACACACTTTCTCTTGAAATGAATGCCATCTTAATACCAGCGCCACTTGATATTTTTGAAAGTTTATAAATCATCCAGCGCAATTCTCCATTAACTTCATTAAACTGTCCTGAAATGTTCTAGTTCCCACCCCCAAACCTATTGTTTATCTTCCTTGTGCACGCGGTCACATGAACACACGCAGATACAACATCCCACACACATATGGTTGAATAGGCTGCCCCCCTCAATTAAAATATCTCTTCCTGTCAGCTGAATGGCAAGGTATAATTTTCACCAATTTACTCGATTTCGACTGTGCAATATATGAACCTTAAAAAATTATCTTATTGGTAGAATTAATTCCCACAATGCTGCAGAGGTAATGTGATCAGCCATCCAGCCAAAGAGGCTAGCCGCTCCGTCAGTCTTAATGTTGGCCACGAAGCCTCTTCACAATCTTCTCTGTCATAACAGTCTGGGATCCTCCCCCATTCCCCGCCCTTTCTCGCCAAGAGAAGAAAACCCAACAAGGTAACAAAGGCTTCGAGCTGATGGATGTAAATGAATCTTGCAGGATGCGTTTGAGTGTTGGGAGACTGTAATTTGCTTGTCAATACAGGGTGGTAGCATCACTCTGGTGGCTGGCAGTCTGCAAGTGGCTGTCACCAGGCATTGCTGTACCACAGGGCAATTTCACTCAATGTTTTCCTGACAGATTGGCTCTGGTCCGCAACTCACAGGAGAGGAGACGGGTAAACTATCCCAGCGCGACATGCCCCTCTTCATTAGTGCCCACACAGAGGCGGGATGAGCCTAGGACCAGCAGGAAACAATGGCTCCATCCCTGCCTGTCCCTCACTGATTACAACTGACATGTCTCACCTAACAGAGGAAATTGTGCTGAGATTGTAACCCAATCTCTCCGGACACCTACTATATTCAATTGAGTGAAGATACAAGAAGGGAATTTCCCTAATTCCACAAAAGAATTTTCTATTTGGGATAGCATTTAATTTGCTGTTTGTACATTATTCTTTGCCAACTGAAAAAAACTATTTACTTAAGGAAAATGTGACCCTAATGCATATCGCCCGTCTTCATGAACCGCTGAACAGTTGAAAAACCTTCGAGAAAGCCCTGTTTTTACCACTGGAAGCAGACTTTGGAGTTCAAGCCGTTTTACAGAAAGCATTACTGTAGAAGACAAAACATCTGGGTTCTCTGTATGTAGTGTCACCGCTGGACAAAATAAAAAAGAAACCCTCTGCGTTTACTCAGTCAAAGGTCCATTTTCTCTCTCCTGCTGTCTCATTCTTAAACCTCTTAAACCACCACAAAGTGTCTTAGTTTAAGTATTTCTCTTTCAATTACCCCATGCTATTTTTTGTGTTTCTCTTGGCTTTTTTTCCCCTATGAATTGTCCTGGTGCATGACATCCTCATGCTTTACATTAAAGGAAGCGGAGCTGCTAGAAATAAGACTTTTGCCGCATTTGCAACGGCATCTCTCCAGGGCCACGATAAACCTGGGCCCAGCCTCAGCTCATGCTCCCACTGTAAAGATGAAAAGAAGCCCATATGCTTAGCAACAACCCGGACCAGATCTCGAGCCGACAGACACATCTAAAGGAGTACTCAGGCTTAGATGACTGGTGCGATAAGAAAGAGTGTTACACAATCAGGTACAAACAGGAAGAAAGTGGGAGAGCAGCAAACCCCGCATTATCTTTTGTTTGGATGTAAATGCCTGTGTAGTACAGATGTGAAGAAATGGCTTCTATCATTAACAAGTGAAGCACTTTTGACTTTGAAAGAGAGGGAGAGAGGAGGAGAGGGGGTAGAGAACAGACATACTGTAGAGAGCAGCTGTTTTTGTGTTTATGAGCAAAGGAGCTTGGTCTTTGAAGGTAACCCAGAGCAGTGCAGCAATGCTGGAGTGTGTGTGGAAGGCTGGCTAATAGGAAGGCTAGGTGAGCAGCTGGATAGAGGCAGTGGTGAACAGAGGGACAGATGGACAGATAGAGTTGATAATGCAGTGAGCAGCAGTGAATGGGAGGGTTGGCTCTGGGGCCCCTGGGCCTGGAGTATCCACACTCACGCCTACACAAGACAGTCTGCGATTGTGTGCATATATACAAGTTAGAAACTGAGAGAAGGACTGGACTGTCTACTCAGTAGTTGTGTGATAGAGAATCCGAGAAAGGCAGTGGGAGGGAAGGAGGGGTGAGAGCAGAGCAGGTTGGGTGCCAGCAGATGAGACAGATGTTGAGCCATACTGGAAAGCATCGGCACAGTGCACCAGGACGCCTTCCTCCACTCTTGACATCTGGGCTTAGCCTGGGTCAAGGCTGCATGGTCGCCCTGGGCAATGAGCCTGTACAAGCCTTGTGGCAAACTGGGCTGGCGCTGTGCTGCCTTTTAAATGGTGTGGTGCACTGAAGCACAGTTAATGCCCTCATATCCAGTCCAGTGCTCAGTGCCCAGGCCAGACAGAGGTGAATGAGACATTGACATAGAGACGCACTCGCACACAAAGAGATGAGAGTGTGTTTAGGAAACCGTGGCTATTAGACAGTGTTTAGACAATGTAAAAGAAGATGTTGGTATATAAAATTGCAATGGCTTAAAAGCAGTTTCCCTATTTAATATATTCAAAAGCCACAGTTGGAAATGTGCAATGCACCGTCATTGCTGGCAGCAAAGAATCTGACAAATATCTGCCACTATATTTTCCACCACATATTGCCACGCTACAACTCATGTCTTTCTTTAAAAAAAGAAAAAAGAAAGACGCACATTTGTTTTTCATCAATTTCTCGTTAAAAGACAAGGCTTACACTCCTGTGTTTCCAGCAGGAAAAACATTCACTCCATAATTGATTATATTGTGTACTGAGCTATCAGCTTTGTTATTTCACTAAACAAATACAGGGCTGCCCGCCCTGATTGCATATCATACTTTTGAGATGTCTAACATCATCAGCAGAGTGTGTAATCTCAGTTTAATGTCACAGGCAGAAAAGTGAACCTCCCCGTTTAACCTCTGCTGCCTCCAGAGGGCTCGTTTTTAATTACCAGAGGCTAACAAGCTGACCTAGGGCGTGTTGTGCTCACTTTGAATCTATGCTTGCTGAGATCTGCTCTGCTCTACTGGGAAATGAGGAATGATGGGGTCAGACAAAGGATATTAGGTTATGTGTTTGCCTTCTGATTTATATGTCCTGTTTTTGTTTTACTTTTTATATTATTTTGTATTGTGATTGCCATACATGTACACTTTTAATGGGACTGGCATGTTTTTCATAGAGAACATAAAATAGAATATTTATCTCTTGCCAGTTCCTAAAAACCCCTGATTGTAATCCCATTAGCTAACATATTCATTTTGATGTTTACATTTGCAAACTGTAGCTCAGCGTGCTGCTTGTTTTTCATGGAAATAAAAAGTGTTAAGAATATTGAGGGTCCTGATATTTTTAAAAGGTTTGACTGCTCCTTCTGTACTCCAGTGTTGGAACACTGACTTTCAGCTTGACCCTCATTACCATGAACCTCTCTCTACGCCACCTGGCAAGCAGTTATGAAGAAGGGGTTATTAGATGTGAGAGCGTCAACTGAGGAAAACAGGCAGATGTGTTCAGCTCAGGGAGACCAGCTTTGGCAGGATACGTCAACTTTCTGACACCGGAGTGATTGTTGTCTCCAATTGAAATACAAAGCCAAAAACATCTATAAACCCTACCAGACTTAATACTGAAAAATACTCACTGAACACTGACATTTTTCCAGTTTCTTCTTGTACACTGTATAGCAACTTAACAGATTTGACTTTCCCCTTGATTGTATTTATTGTTCTTTGGTTCATGGAGGGTTCCTGCTCGGGCTTAAGAGTAGCCGTTGCTTCTCACCCTGTGGCATTGACCTGCTAATCAGTACTAGCATCCTGACTGTGTGCAATTTGAGGCAAAGTCTAATTATGTTCTTTTTCCGGGACAATAAAATTCTTCCCACACAAGGTCAGGGGCATGCCCATCGACAGGCCTGTTAGCAAACATCTGTCCAACAGACTCTTCGACTTAGGCTTGCATGTAGCCTAGAGTGATAGGCAGTGAATTGAGAATATGTTTTTTCTGTCCACTATTTCTTTCTCTCTCTGTCGCTAACCCCACCATCCATCTCACCTCACCTCACCTCACACAGATACACATACGCCGACACAAAGAGTGCCCTTAACAGTGACATTAACTAAGTCTAGCTCAGATGAGAAGAAAATAGAGTTAGGCCCACTCCTGTGTCCGATCCTTTCCGAGACAAAAGACTGTTTGTGAGGGAAGGTGGAGGCAGTGCTATCATTGTGGGAACATAATCAGTCTGTCATTTCCGCTGCCCATGTGCTGTTGTTATCCCTAGGTCCCCTGGAAGAATGGACCTTTTGTACTGCCGCTTATGTGGCAGCGATAAAGTTTCTTACAGGAGCACATATGTGTTTATATCTGCAGATATGTGCATGGACATAAAGTGCTTTATTTGGTCTAAGTCTTCATTTAAACTGCCAAAGGTGAGGACAACAGGGCCGGGTTGCCTTTTCTCATCCAGACAAATGTGTTCTGTGTTCGGCCAAGCAAACCAGGAAATGAGACAAGGTTTGTTGATTGGCCAGTGGAAGCGAAATTAGATTCTCTCTGACAGCACCGTCTGACTGCATAACACAACAAACCATAAGGTTTAGCTAGTCTGAGGATAGCAAGGCAGCAGGGGAGTTAAGGGCTGCTATTTGTCTGATGAAGTGAGGGCTAAGGCTACGTGGAGTAACACATTTTCTCAGACAGTAGCTCTATTTTACAGACCCCTGCCATTTGCAGCAGGAGACAAAACCCAATTTCATCACTTACCTGGTGGCCAATCAAAACACACCTCCAACTGAAAGAAGCCTCCAGTGGGAGTGCTGGATCTGCAGACACACAGAAAAGGCACGAAAATGATCATTTGATTTACAGTTAAATATTATAAATTTTGATATCAAATCAAGAGATAAAAATAGACAAGTTGATTTTAAGATACCGAGCCATAACTTATAAATTACCCTCCAAAATGTGATGCATTTGACTCACGCTGCCTTTTTATGCATCCAATCCCTAATATCAGTGTATTTAACCATCAGTTCAAATATTTGCCACATTATCAACCTCTTAAATTGAGCCTTCAAAGTTCAACTCTATCTGAGGCAATGTTTTGCCATTTGCACCATGCTCTTGGGTAATAATGTCACCAGCAGCTGAAAACCTTACTGAATGAACACCAAGAAATATAAAGTGATTGCATCAGTGTTCTCTGTAAAGATTTCTAATCTTTTATAATGTGTGTTTTTAACATTTTCTGTGATGGCAATTCAACTGCGGTTGGTTGTGGAACGGGACCGTCTCACATTGCTGTGTACAGACAAAACACAGACCAGAAACTTCAATTGCAAGTTGTGTAGAACTAGAGAAACGAGAGATCTTTGCTAACACACTTGCATCCATTCGGCAAACTTTTCTCTGTGATGAGTGGAAAATAGGGGCTCCAAGTATTTGAATGAAAGCCATCTCTGTGTGGTTTTTAAGACTGCTGTCTCTCTCTGGGTTCAGCCTTTGAAATACAGTTAAGACCTTTGATGGAGGTTCTCTGCCAGCCTCATGGAAAGAGAGGAAAGACGTAAAAGAGAGAGGGGAGATGAAGGCAGACAGAGAAGCAGAGAGAGTTCTAGGGAGAGGAAAAGACAGAATATAAAACTTTGAATGTTTGCTGGATTTGGATGTTAACGCCTTGCGGGTTTCTCCACCTCTCTACAGCAACTGTATGCTGCCCAGCTTGCCAGCATGCAGGTCTCTCCCGGAGCCAAGATGCCTCCACCCCCCCAGCCACTCACGGCTAGTGGGCCCATTTCTCCGTCATCTCTGAAGAATGACAAGAGTTCCTCCAGCCCCATCACTCAAGTCAAGGTACAACCCTCGACTACTTCAACCAGCCCACCCACCAACCCAGGCCTTGAGTGGTACTTGACCTAGCCTAGCCTATTTGGTGTTGTCTGAGTAAACTAGCATCTACAATGTTCAGTACTTCAGTATTACACCCGGCCGTTGGTGAGCCCAACCTCTAACAGACCATCAATCTCTGGGGCTTTAACAAGGCCCTCTCTCTCTTAACCAGAACTCTGTGGAAATGGTTGCTATAGCTATGGCAGCTTCAAGCCAGTAATTTGTGGAACACGTGTTTTTTTTTCTTTCTTTTTCACAATGAAAAGGCTTTTCTTTTTTTGTAACTAAAATGGAATAAATCTCTTACCACGGTGCTATACAACTACTGAGTAGGACTGACAATTTTTTTCCCTTGTAAACAAACTAGGATGTGCTTTCTGCTGCTGTATGGCACGGCTCCACCAGACCTCCATGCAAAGGAAAGGCCGCATACATCATTCCCGCTCATTAAGGCCATAATCAGAAACATACGCCCATTTGAAGTAGTTTAGTTTAATAATATCACAATGGAGAAAAACCATAAATCATGCCTTCAAATAGTAGGAAAGCACTCCAGCTTTTTGTTCGTGTGCTTGCGCTCACACACAGCCAAAAACACACACCCATTCAGGTCCTCTGCCTCCAGGAATATCCATCAATCTGGCTCAAGTATATGGATGTCAAGTAGGGCAATGTTAATACAAGGCTAATTCTAGTCCAAATATTACCAATTATGCCAAAATTAAGGACTTCAGATGACATGAATTATTCATAAATAAATGGATGGCAAACGTATACTGGCATCATCCCATCCCCATCCACAGTCCAGTGGAATCGGATTGCCTTCAGTTTTGTTTGTCTGTTTTCAGCTTCACTGCATGACAAACTGTTATTGGCACAGCAATAACAAGGCCTTGGGGCAGTCTATGGTAGAGCCATATGTTTGGACAAGGAGACACTTGGGCTTTGAAAAATACTGTTAATGACAGCATGAGCCCTAATCTGATTTTAAAAACTGATGTGTACATCCATGCGACTTATCTTGAGCGGTGTGACATTTTTCTTGTGGCATCTTTGAATTATTCCCATTTACAATCATTCAGCATTTGATTGTATTTAAGAGAATCTAATATACACATTGTTTCATGGTTTTTGCCCAGTTTTAGCTTACAGAGCAGTTTGTTAGTCATAATCAAATATTTAACTGTATAAATAATATTTTTATTCAAATTATACATAGAGCATAAAAAGTGCGAGTACTTTAATATGTCATTATTAAATACCTGGCCTCTTCGGGTACCCGTAGATAAAGCATTTTTGTTCTCAAATGTCCTGTATAAAATGCATTTGTCATCTTATATCAGTAACTGGTCTTCAAGGCCACAACCAGCACAAAAATACAGCACCAAGAAAATCTGTGCTCCCTGACCTCATCTCAGAACCACACTGCACATCATATTTTTTAGGAATAGGCATATCAAAGCTTACGATAAAACCAAGTATGCACAAATGAGGAATGAAATTAGAAAACAAGTTAATGAAGTAGATAATGTAAGTCGACATCTGATGAATGGAACAGCTGTCTTTGATCATTGGCACCGCTGTTATCTGGTCATTATTTATTCTTCGAACCAGAGTGCAGACACAGAGAGCAGGGAGGAGGAGAGGGAGAACAGATGAAGATGTACAGAGAGACAGAATCTGCTTTAATTAGTGTGAACAAAGGCGCTGGGCAACTGTGAGGAAGCTCACAGTGGCGCAGCTCCTAAGAAAGGATGGATGAGAGGGGATGGTAGGAGAGGGGAAGACGAGAAGAGAGGAGAGGGGAAAAAGCAAAATGAGGGAGGAATCAGGGAGGAGGTGTAGGTCACAATAGGGATTCTGTAATTAACCAGAAACAGAGGAGAGCTGTGCTGTCTGGAAACCCGGAGCTCCTCCAAACGGAGGAGGTGGGGGCACCCATTAACATCTGTCTTCTTTCATACTCCTATCTCTTCTGCTGTAGGAGGAGGGAACACAGCCCCTCAACCTGTCTGCTCGGCCAAAGACGACAGAACTGATCAAGTCTCCTACGTCCCCGACACAAAATCTGTTCCCCGGCAGTAAAAGCAGCCCTAACAGCTTCATGAGCAAGGCGGGTACCCCCAGCCCACTTGGAGGTCTGGGCCGGGGATCTTCTCTGGGTAAGACGTCAAAGTGTTTCCACTTGACAAACACAGATTTACTCTGTTCAAACATACACCTACGCTATACACTCACATCCAGAGAGACCAGAGTAGAAAACGTTTGTACGGATGCATTTTGGTTGTTTTTCTGTTCTTTTTTCAGCATGACGTGCTAATTTCACTCTGCTCTGTGTGCATGCAGATATTCTGTCCAGCCTAAACTCTACCGCGTTGTTCGGGGACCAGGACACAGTGATGAAGGCCATCCAGGAAGCTCGGAAAATGAGGGAGCAGATCCAGAGGGAACAGCTGCAACATCACCAGCAGGGCATGGAGGCAAAGCTGTCTGCCCTCACTTCAGTGGGCCTCAACAACTGCAGAGCTGACAAGGTTAGAACAAGTTCCATTTCATCTTTCTCTTTTTTTTTAATCCCTGAATCAGGTCCTCTCTATTGCAGGACTTCTCTAAAAAGGAAAAAATGTTAGTAGCTGACCACAAGACTGTTTGCTCTCCCTGCAAGTAGCGGAGGAAAGAAACTATGCAAGAAAGTGGAACATGCCGATTTTGCTACAGCATTAATTCTTAAGACTAATCATTTTCTTTAATCCAAGTCCAGGGAGGTCGTAATGATAACAGCTGGCATAGTTTAGTGTGTTCATGTATGTTTACTCAAATTAGCATGAATATGTTTGTGTGTGCGTGTTTAGAAGCTTGTGCGTTGCCGGTGTTGGTGTGAGGGCCATGACAGGCCATGGCACTGCCCGGTGTGGGTTAAGAAGACTCTGAAGTCTCTGCCCAATTAAAGCCGACTTGCAGCCCTCTCCGTCCCCTGACACGGGATGGGGTTGCTTTGTACCAGGAGCACACACTCCCAGGGATTCCCTTTAAAAATATCTTCAATCGATGAGTCAATCAAGGAAAGAAAAAAGCTGTCCTCCTCTCTTCAGCTTGATGCCATGTTGCCAGTTGGCTGTGAGGAGCAGGCAGAAACTGGGAGCGATGCTCATTAATATTTCAGCACCTGACACTTTCAACCAACAGCCTCAACTAGGTCAATGTATATGTAAAAAAGTCAATGAATATCTATTTTGATTTCCGTCTAATTTGGTGTTTGGAAGATATCACTGTCTATGCAGGTGGCAATCAACTATGCTCTTACTGAAGTGAGGCAAATAAACCGATGCAGCCCATCGAGGCGATGGAGAGGAAGCACAGAAGCATGAACAAAGATAAGAAACTAACTGAACTGATCAATCTCGTAATTCCCCAACAAAAAACTCAAATAGATGTGACTTAATTTAAGAGACGAACAGGTGTGCCGCCTTCCACAAAAGATTTGTGAGCTTTTATTTTATTATTTTAGTTACATTGTGACACATCACGCTTCAAGCACGAGTGTTCAAGTACCCTTTAGTCATCCTCAGTCACAACTGAGGTGAACCTGTGGTCAGCCAAGCAGTTAATTCTGGCATGACAAGAAAAGAGCAGAACAATGGCTTAATCAACAGACTGCACACACCTACAGCTACACTGTCCGTGTGGTATGTAGAGCATAAAATGTTTTTACTTTCTTTTTAGTCGGTTTAAGGTTTTTTTTCTTTTCTTTCAACTTTGCACTCAGCTTGTGATCAGCCAGTTTTAGAGCAATAATCTGAGATTGTAGAGATCCTTTCTTTTTGCTTGAAATAATGACTCATTCCTCACCAAAACACCTTTTGTCTGTATTTTTCAGCACTTACTTGTTTATGGCAGTAACAAAGTGAATGTATAGTATTCAATACTAGAATGTATGAAAGGCAATAAAGTACTATTTAGAACAGTTGGATCGCAGTATTGTGGCTATTTAGACCCATGCATGCCTTTGGAAAAACTATGATACCCACCTCTTTTTGTGACATATCAGTCCTGTTAAACGGCACCTTAACTGAGCACACCCTTGGACTGCCTCCTACGCAAATCATAGTGAGATATTGTCACCTCTTAGTTTCAGTGACACTGGTCCTATTAGGATGGTGTAAAATTAGATGCAGGCTTTATCAAGTCAGCTAAAAGAATTGCCCCCATCATCTTCATCCTTTGGCTGTAATAAAGAACAGTCAGTTGTAATTCAGCAGTGAAATGAGAGAGAAGCCGAGCGGGTCTTTTGCTGATACAACAAGCCAGCAGACTAGAATGGTTCGAATAGCCGAGATAAAAGCTTTCACTTTGGTCAGTTTCAGAATATTAATATTTTAAGAAAGCACCTCACCTGACATAAATATGGCGTGGTCTTTAATAACCCCCCTCCCAGTCTCTTGTTTGGAAGTTTATCAAAGTGAGAGCTTACATGAAGAAGATTCTGGAAAGGTAACATAAATGGGATTAAGGAGAGGTTAAGATCATTCAGTGTGGCTGTTAGAGGGGGATATTAAATATTGATTTATCCCACTGTAATGACCGGGCAGAGGAGTGGGTCTAAGTGCTGCTTAGAGATGGATCAATTCATCTTTTCATATAAAGTGTATCTGAACAGTACAATGCATTCCTCCCAAACCTTTATCACCATGACTCTAGCTCTCTCTTTCTCACTCTCCCTTCCTGGCCATTGACCTAGGAGAACACTGTGTAGATCAGACTCTGTTCTACGGTATACAAGGCTTTAACCTGAGGACATGTGAAATATTCATGTTTTACAGGAGCAGATTTTCCTGCTTGTCTTTTTATTTGTCTGTTTTTACTATATCCCATCAGTACAATAAAACCTTTTACAACCCTTCTGCAATTTGCCTTTTTAAAATATTTATCTATAGGTATTATTGTCTGCAGAGGCAATTACTTTGTTCCATTATTTACCATCTCTTCCTCACACAGTGGAAGCTTTTACCTAGAATGCACCAGTATGCCTGCAGTCATATACACTACAACCAAATCCATTTGTAACCATTTGAATTTTTCCCCTCTATAATGCACCATAGCTTCAAGTGGAGATGCTGTTTTTCAGGGTCATATGAACCATAAGAAGCATCTGCGTGTATATGTTTTTACTCAGATGTTGCATGGATGCATTTTTGACTTGAGGTACCGGCTGCTAATACATTTCCACTGACTCAGCAGGACAGAGCAATCATTTCAAATCATTCATATCAAATGTTCAAGCTGAATTAACACATGAGAGATGTAGAAAGCTAAATATTTCAAAAAAGTTTTCAATAGTAGGCTTGTATCGCCCCATTGTGACATATACTGCATACATCTACATAACGAAGTGATAAAAGAGTTTTCGTTTTTATGTAATTAGCCACATTAAATAAAGACAAAAAAAATCCAAGTGGAATTCAATACATTTAAAAACTGGCCAAGTGTACAATCAATAGTGTAATTGTCTGGAAACTGCAAACTGCCTGTTAATGAGCAGAGGAATTCCTATTAAGAAGAAAGAGTGTTAATTGAATGTTCAGCCTTAGTCATTCATGACTATGTGACAAAAGTCATTTTATACATTTCATCTATTATGTGCACACACACACACACAAGCAGTGTACTACATACTGTTTGATCATGTGACTAAATCTGCAGTTTTTTTCACAAGTGGTGCATAAACAAATCTCTAAAATAGGAGCATCAACCTCTTTTGCTTGAGTTCCAATAAACTGTAGTATGTGATGTTCTGGAGGTGTCAGATAAAATATATTCCTCTGCTGACATGTCCCTAACCGGAATCAAAAGGGGAAAGGTCAGTGCATTAACCTATCGAACTGCCCTTTCTGCCCCACAACTCTCCTCTCCTCAGTATTGATGACTACAATTGTCCATTTCCCGTTTCCCAAAGCTCAGCCTGTAAATATTCAAATGAGCTTACACTGGTGCTCCAACAAAATCCAGACTCCTAACCTATTGGTTATAGTGGTTATACTGTTCCCCCGTGTGTGTGTGTGTGTGTGTGTGTGTGATGCCAGGACTCTATTCAGGCAAAGCCCTCACAAAGACTTTGAATATAATCTTGTCTGGTTTGCAGCCCTGGAAGCAATTTTCTGCTCCTTTTCGACTGCTGTCTTGGAAATTGCAAACCAAGGCATTTTGGCTGCAATGTAAATCCTTGGCATACAAGGGTTTGCCCATCCAAATTAGATTATGCTCCGCTCCCAGACACTGGCTGTAGCCAGCAAGTGCTATTGTGAAGATTGCTTACATTAATGCTTTGTCCAATTGTTCAGCTCAGTCAAAAGAATAAAAAATAATGTATGACTCGGGATAAAATGCGCCTGTGCATGGTGTGTGTGTCTGCGGGCTCCTGTCCCAGGTCAAGTCTTTTGCTCTCCTGCCTCTTCCCCAGAAAGACATCAAGAGTCCATCTTGGTAGGGTCATTTGGCGATGGTGGCTCCATTATTTTCTACAGTTGTCATCTAACATAGTGCATTTCTGGCTGGCTACAGTTGATTAGAAATGCTGCTGGCCCTGGTGGCTAAGACCTGTGATGCTGTAGTCACCACAAGGCACATTCAACAAAGGATGAGGAAAAGAATAGGCTACAAAGGACCATTTATAGTCTATGGTATTGTTGCAGTAGGACCATGATGGCCAGAGTGTCCAACAAGTCTTGATGTGTTGTCTGGATGTGAAAGGCGTTTTGGTAGAGCCGCAGTTTGAAATATCCTGCTGTTGGTAACCTGAACAGGTTTGATAAGGCTGGAGATTTAAGCCCAACTTAACATCGAACATTTCTGGTTCATCAAGAATTGGAAATTCGTAAAAGTACATGTTGTCACCACAAATTACCTCAGCGGTGCGGCAAAGAAAATAGGAACTGAAAACCGTGTTAGAAATGTTTCGCAGCACTCAGATTGATACACAATTTATGTTTCAGCGCACGCGGGCTGAATTGAGAATGACACAGTATTGCGACATTTTCCTTCCAACCACATGTGTAATGTAATAACATGATCAGAAAATGTTCATAGTAGACATGTAGAAGTAAATAAACTGTTTCAACTAAATTTCAAACTAGCACTGAAGGGTCACACTGTGTGGGTTTGTCTTGTTTTCACTGCAGCAAAAATGATCTTGAATAATGAAAATGCTTTTTTTTTTTCACGAAAAAACGAAACTCACAGAAAGCACACAAGAGGTTAGCTTACAAGATGTTTAAGTGGTTTAATTAAATTAAATTAAAGGCCTTTTAAAACAAACGGGTTGATGCCCTGGCAGTACAAATAGGACTGGAATAGCCGGCCATCTCCGCTCTGTGTGATGTTGAGTATGACTACTATGGAACAGATGCCAGGCTTTTGTGGCTGCTACTGTTGATTCTGCTGCTGCCTGCATTAGCCTTAGCAAAGGGACATCTATGGGTAAAAAGAGAGCAACAGCCTGCATGAAAGGCACTGTGGGTTTACCGCATGGCTGGATGTACTTAACATTTAAATGGTTCAAAACTAGCAAAAACTACTGGAAAGCTGCAGACTTATAAATAACCTTACAACTGGTTACAATACAAATACAAAACAGATGAGGTGCTGAGCTGTGAGAAGCTGCAGCCATGTTAAAGTGCAGTCTTTGTCTGCATCAGGACTGGGACAGATTGTTGAGGGCTTTAGTCTGAGACCCTCAGAGTCTTCACTCAAGGACTGAAGACCACAGTGGTGACTGACACTTGATACACAAAGCCCTGCATTGTGGTCAGGACTACTGCCTTCAGCTTGCCACATACCAGGTGTGTGATATAACTGGAGCCAGTTCAGCACATTATCAAATATAAGCGGGAGTCCTGTCGCTGTAAAAGCTTGAATCATGAGATCTTAATCATATACAATCATACACTTTCCAGTGTGGTGAGATTTAGTTTAATGGTTCTCACCAAGTGCAGTTGTAACTGCTCTCAGAATTCATAATGGGACTTAAATGTTTCATTTAACTGTGGTGTGAGAAATGTAAAGTTTCACTTACTTATTTATTTTATTTATGTAGAAGATTCAGTTTTCATTTCACAGCCAAACCCGATCCTCCAAACCGAGCTGACTTCCAAAAACTGCACCACAGTTAGTTTTCGCTGTACTTTTCTTTCATGTGTATTTGACCAATCCCGATCCATCTGGATTTGCCTTTGCCTTTTTGACTAAAGCTATTTGCAAAGGAGAGAGTGAAGGAGTGTCAGGATTGGCAATGCGTTGCCTAAATATAGGGCGGAGTAGGCACAATGCACAGGGCCGTCCGCCACCCGCCTCTGCCCAGAATACACACCCTGTGGGTAGAGCAGCAGGCCTCCGGCACATGTTCTGTGGCCAGCCAGATTAAAGCTTTCCTTACAACACTGACAAGGGCCCTTTTGGGCTCCCTCGCCCAAGACGTTACACAAACTTTGCTATCTACCCCCTTTTTTTTCTCATCTTCCTCTGTGACTCACAGTCTCCCTGTGAGTTCCCTCACAAGCCAGCCATGTGCAACTGAACAGATACATGTGTTACCAAACTTTAAAGACAAAAGACTGCACAGGCAGGGCAGATGAGATTATTGTGGGTGGCAGTTCTCCACTACAGCTCTGAGTGCACTGCTATAATTTTAGTTGTGGGGAGGAGAGCTGCATGCTGAAGTCATTTAAGGGAGGGACAAGTTGCTTGCCAGCGGTCGTGGTCAGAGTGGGAGGGAAATGATGTGTACTGTTATATCTTTTGTTTCCTTTCTCTTTATCTTTGTCTATTCACACCAGCCTCAATTTGTTCTTATTTTGCGTTGTTTCAATACATTTTCCTCAGCTGGCCTTGTAGCATTTATGTTTGGTTTTTGCTACTTTAAAAACCATATATACATATATATATGTGTTTGGGTTTTGTTTTGTTTTTTTAAATATTGGCCATATACTGATTGGCTCCCTCTTTCAAAGTCTCTCCCTCTCTTTCTCTGGCAGGATGGCTAGCTTCCCCAGATACTGCATGTCCTTTGCTACTTCTCTGTGTCAGAGTGATCAGTAAAAATTTAATGACACTATAAAATAATAAAACTGCCATTAATTTATCACAGCACTTGATGCGTGTGCAGTAAAGAAGCATTAGTTCACTGAATCTTTTCCAACCTTAAAACAAAACCGGGATGCTTTGCGGATAATTTACAGCCCTAATTTCCAGTCTATTTCTAATTCACCGATATAAATTATGGAAATTATAACCAATAAGTATATTAAGCGCAGTATATAAAATTTTATGAAAATTTGTGGTACCATATTGCACAGATAGTCTGATATTAATTAGCATAGCACACAGGAGGGGAATACTGCAATTAGACCATTACATTACAGCACGTAAAAGAGGTTGTATAAAGTATATGTAGATGTTTTTCCACTAACCACAACCTCCCCTTTTCTTTTTTTCCTTTTTTTTTTCCTTGGGTCAAATTAAGTAAAGCTACCTCAAAGACAAGAGCTTCATTCAGTCTTGTCCCGGGCTGTCTGGTGTGCTGATGCTCACTAATCATATGACTTTGTGCGGTGGAGAAAGAAGTTCAATGCTGAGCTAGCCATTAATGAAATTCATTGACGGATGGTCCCTGTTCTCTTTCCTTCTCAGCCCAACATGATGCTTAATGATCATGAGTTTATAAAAGGACTTGATTGATCAAGAGGGAGCAACGAAGCGCAGAAGAGGGACGAGATGACTACTTTATTACAGACACACACACTACCCCATGAATGCCGCGTCTTCTGAGCAGACTGTCCAAGTAGCATCTGAAGCAGCACCATCGCCCATCCAGCTAATCGCACTTCAGTCACTTTGTCATCAGGCTGCTAGCTTCTTTCATTAAGAGCAATAATGTGGCTGGGTGATGAATGCGCGTCTGTGCGTGTGTGCGCGCGTGCTTGCTCGTGCGTGTGTTGCTTTACACAGAATGTGACACAGAGAGAGGCACCATACTCCATCTTCGCTTTACAAAGTGTCCTCATGCCCAGCAGGGACCACCACATATGTCATAATTAGAAAACACTTAAGTAAGCAAAGGGCCGTCAGATAGACAGCCTCTAATCACAGGCCATAAGCAGGTAGTGGTTAATTGTACATCAGAATCACTCAGCTGGCCATAAATAATGACTGCTCCTTCAAGTATGATGGTAAATTGCAGTGCTCTTTCTGTCTCTTGCGTGGTCCTTTCTTTTGAGGAATAGTTCTTGAATAAATAAAAGCATGAGGAAAATCAAAATACTGTGAAAGGCCTCAAATGGACTTGAACTATCTTCATTCTTCATCTTGTCAGAATTTTTAACCCCCAACAAAAAAAATGCACAAAAGGAGAATTTAAAAAAAAAAAAAAGAAAACATTTTAAAGAGATTTCTTTTTTTGTTGTTCTTGCCTCTGTCACTATAATACATTTTGACTTTTTTCACCAGCATGATTTCATTTATCATAATAAAAACAAATAAGTTCGAATAAGTCGGCTAGCTGGCTACAGGCATAAACTAAATGTTTGCGGGCACAGTTGTTAGAGCTTCTTAATTTTTTATCACCTGGGGAAAAAGAACTTCCCTGTGGGGAGAAAACGTGAAAAAACCCAACAAAAACAAAACAGTGGAATGCCTCACAGAGGAGGGGCTCAAAGATTAATGTGTTTGTTGGTGTCGTTGCATGAGGCAGGGGAGCTGTTAGTATTGTGTGGGGACTCTACCTGAGTGTCTGCTCAGACTGCATGTGATAGGCCTGTTTAGAAAGAAAAGAGGCAGAGGTCAGCGCAGACAGTGCATCTTTGGCAGAGATTGAACGTGCACCCTGGGAGTAAAACAAATGCTTTTTTCTGAATGGTGGCAACATGCCTGCTTTTAGTGTCATCCAGGCAAACCTGGGAGGGGGGGAGATTATTTGTATCATGCAGAGTCAAAGTGTCCATCTCCTAGTTGAGTCTTTAGAGAGGAAGACAGCCCTTTGCTAATGCCCTGTGTATTCACTGAGGAAGTAGGTCATTCAACAATGGAGCCAGCAGCAGTCGGCACTCTCCCCTTGCATAATACATTAAGTGTAATGTGCAGCAACTATTCAGAGACCCCCCGAAAGCTGTTATTTTATTCTGTAAATGCACATGGACATGACATTTAATATTGTCACGGAGCGCTGAATGACAGGGTTTCATTGTGCGACAAGTACAACATGATGCCAAGTTTAATCTGAGCACAAAGAAACATGACAAACGGGAAAACACGGTGTGTTCTCCAAAGCATGAACTCTGAATAAATGATGGGCGCTGAGCTCAGGGCGCTGTAGACTGGAAGGCAGGATGTAAGGAGAAGATTACAGAGGAAAATCTGAGCACTGCAAAGAGGGCCACGGCCCCATTGTGTGCTCGGGATCACAAAGTATCCTTCTGTAAATCTATTTAGAGCACCCCTGGCCCTCACTGTCTCGCTGCCTCCTGTCATCCATTATAACAGCTACAGAATAGAGAGATGAGGAAAAAGCTGCATCTAGCTCATGTCAAAAGAGCAGCTTTTCAAAACAAACTGCATTTATCAAAGACACTTTTTTTTTTCTTTTCAAATTTTCAGATTTGTGATGGAGTTTGTTATTTTTTTTCCAGCTGTTTTGTCACTGTAAAAAGGTGTATATGTGCTGGTTTGTTTACCTGACTCTTTGTATATCTCTGTAGGAAAGAGCACACTTTGACAGCATTGGGCACCACCTTGGCAAGCTGGGTGAGGATGGAAAGCTTGGCCACAGAGTTATTGACCTCACCAGGCCAGAAGATCTAGATGGTAAGGCCATTATTGGGTCTCTTGTTTTGTTTTGTTTTATTTCATTGTTTTTCTGCCTTTTCCCTTTAATTATTATTACATGCTTTTAAATTCAGTCCTTACATCGGCATAATTTGTAACATTTTACTTAACTTTCTAAACTATCCGGGGGGGGGAAATATTAAGAGCAATGGGTGGATTGTCTACACACTCAAAACTGAGTCTACCTTTTAAAAGAAAAGGGAGTTTTGATGTGTAATAAAGGCCTACTGCTCAGTACTGCATGCAGAGCGGTTGGGACAGTTGTGTGCAAGAGAGAAGTGGTGAATGCCGTTTGAAATGAGCCATCGCTCTGAGGTTTTCACAGGTAGGTGAGCGAAGAACAAGGGTGCCTGAGGACAAAGCTGGCTTTTTTCCAAGCTTGACTCCTGTTGCTGTTGTTGCTTGTCTGAGGTCCTGGGCGCATGTGTGTAAATTCTGATTACACCAGTGTGACAAATCGTCATCTGCTTTTGTGGAGCTGGCTCCTACACAGGAGCAAAGAGTTCCTCAGTGCAACTAATATTTGTCTGACATAAATATTTGTGGCAGTTTCCATGGGACTTCAGAGCCAGAGCAGAAAATAAAATGGTTCTGACTCATCTTTCATGCCTCAGAAAGTCTCGGGGCAGAGGGATAGATATTTCTCAGGACAATGTAACACATCGGCATTTTCCAATGAAGTTTTAGGCACGTTTCAGTTCAGTTTTAGAACTAAATGGTCTTGCTCAGTTGGTTCACATAGACTTTTTTTTAAAAAAAATCTTGCTATAAAAATATTTGTTTACCAACTTCAAAGCACATTTAGTTTCACATCACACCCAATTCTGAAGATGAGAATTAGAGGTGCATTTAGTGGATTCATTTACATGTTTCCCATGTAAGCCACAGCAGAAGATCCCATCCCACCCGTCTGACTCCTTGGACAGATGTGTTTTGAGTGCTCATTCTCCCAGTGGTAACCCTCCCTCTGTGGCTACTGTGGAGTCAGGACTGAAAGTGCGCACCAGGGAAGTTCTGTCCTTTTAAGTCCTGTTTAGAGCCGAGGGAAAGGCTAGCACCAGACACCGCACATCAGTTTTCCCAGTGGGTTATGGATTAGGAGCAAGCAAAGGTTAGAGGAGAGAAGAGGTCCTCTTCCCAAGGTGGGGGGGTGGCTGGGAGACAGGGCAATGGACATAACTCAAAACACAGTTAGCATTTCTTCTATTACACCACATACATACATATATATATATATATATCTATATATATATATATATATAAATATATATATATATATATATATATATATATATATATATATATATACATACATATATATATATATATATATATCGGTCTGTGTCTTTAGGCTTTACCAACAGGAAGGCACGGAGATGAATGATGTGAAGCAGGATTTTGAGATGTGAACCACAAAGTATTTACTCTTCTGAGAACATGCTTACATCTGAAATCTTGTGAGGATTTTCTCTTCCTTGAACCAAAGAAAGCTCGGCTCCCTGGCATACCATAACATAAAGAAATATACAGTGCACGAAAATATTTATATTCTGTTTAATAGCATAAATATGAAAGCATAGAAAACATTAGCCTTCTAGATTATGTAAGGTCAAAGGTCATCCAGGTGCCAAGTATTTTTTTTCAATGTGAATAAGATCTGCTGAATTGAAACTTGTTCTAAAAAATTACCATAAAAAACCACAAATGTTTCTATGACAAAAAGGCAGTTTTATCCAAAAAATGTAGCATCAGTAACTAGTTTTGGAACAACCTATAAAAATAGGAGGCAAATGAATTTGGAAACATTTTAGCCCCCTCCCCCGAGTAGATCAGAACACACTGCACATACTTTTGGTGTTTCCTGAAAGGGAAAATTACTGGGTGCACCACCTCACCCATACATAGGGTGTGAAAGCCCATTGGTGTGTAGCAGCTTTCCATCCAGAACAGAGTAACCGCATTGAGCAGGCACAGTGACTTCTGTTATCGCGGCAGTTCACAGAAAGCTTTAGGTTCTTTAAGCTAATATTTGCAAAGCAGGCAGACACCCAACTCCGAACAACCAAAAGTGTGTGTGTGTGTGTGTGTGTGTGTGTGTGTGTGTGTGTGTGTGTGTGTGTGTGTGTGTGTGTGTGTGTGTGTGTGTGTGTGTGTGTGTGTGTGTGTATGGGAATGGTTAAAAAATAGGAATAGATGGGATTTTCATCATTTAACAAAGTCACAAGCCACACACATGATCCCTTGGCAAATTCATTAGGTCTTTACCAAATACCACAAAAGCCTGAGCCCTGAGGCCCTTCGTTCATTCACATATGGCAGTATGGAGCTGCCATATGAGGTTGTGTGTTTGTCTAAAACGCCCCCATCACTCAGGGTCTACAAAGAACAAAGGAGTTGTTGAGAGATGTGTGCAGGCAGGAAACAGAATTAATCTAAAAGCCCAATGAGATAATATCAAACAAAGACTGAAGAACAAAAGAGAAGCTTCAGCTGAGAAGTGTCCTTGTGGAATAGGATAAGAAAAACAGTAGTCTTGCACTTTTGCTACAGATCACTGACAATGAGTTTCTTTACATCGGTAGCTCAGAGCTGTTGTGAAGTGTTATATGGGCTGATTGTTTGAAGATGTTTGTTTTTCTTCTGCTGTGAGTCTGTGGGAATCAAGCTCTGGCTTTTATTGCCGGGGAGTTTTTCTGGAAGAAAGCTTAGATGAGAAGCCTTTGACATAATAACGTGTCAAGTCACAAAAACAGTAGGTGCACAGGTCAAAACAATCAATAAGAAAGTTCTGTTTTGAAGCTGGCAAATTGAAATTTAGAGCAAACGAACAAACGTGTGTATTTCTCTGTGAGTGTCAGAGGCCGAGAAGTTGTGAAAGATTAAACTAAATGCATAAGACAGCTGGCTCTGCAGGCAAAAGTAAAAGCTGCGGCATGTTGAAACAAGCTGCCTGTTTGTTCCCAAGTTCCCACGTGTGTGCATGCATTCACACACTATCACACACACACACACACATATACACACAGAGGGTATGGAAACCCAAACGATCCCAACTGGGCACTAAAAATAAGACAATTGAGATGTTTTAATGTGGTTTACATCACTTGTGATTTTCACCGGTTTAATTAGCATGCCACGAACTCAGACTGGACCAGAGCCACTGAGCGCCGCATCCTGTCCGTCCACACACATTAATCTCGCCTGATCCTGCTCTGAGGGAGAGGCTCTATTGTCAGTAGTAAATGCCTTCACTCAGAGGTGTTAGATTTGATCCCAACAGGGAGGGCTTGGCAGGTTTGCGTGATTGTTGCCTGCTCACTGAGGCTCATCCTTTTTGAGCGGATTCCTGGGTGACATTATGTGTCTGCCCATAGAACAAAGATGAGTAAGGAGGAGGAGAGGGGGCAGCTGGGGCAGCGCTACCCTCTGGCTTGCTATATGGTCGAGTCTGAGCCTGCAGCTCACAGGTGTGACAGGCTGTGGGGCCTCACTACATTCTCTCTCTATTTCGCCCCCTTTCTTTTTTTGTTTCCTTCTTCCTCGTTATTCACTTTCCCTTTTCGTTCTTTATTCCACCGTGTGCGCACACACATAGACACACACACAATCATTCTTTCACACTGTAATTCATGCTGCTCATCTGCAGTGTTTCCAGGAGAGACAAATTAAAAGGGGATTCTCATATCGCTCTGTCACACTTGAGCTGCGGGCCTCATGAATCACAATAAATTCTATTAAGCAGCACTCCCTCTGTTTCGCTCCCTCCCCAGCTACCACCCAGGGGGCCTGGCCCTGTCACCGCTAAACATCTGTGTTTATTTACACAATCACACTCCTAACTAACTGATTCCTAAATGTCCTGCCCCTCCTGGAAAACAATAGTTATTGCTCATTTGCAAAATGTCAGAGCAGCGTTGCGATTTTCTGCAAAAATATGGAAACAACCTGGCAGTAAATTGCATGTTATAGTTGCAAGCAATTTGCTGTGTGAATATACAGGATGTCCCCGATTAAGTCATATATATTACAGGGGTTGAATAAGGAAGCAGTTCTGTACTTCAAGGTGCTTTCAGACAGATCACAGACCTCGCTGCTATTTCAGGTTAAAGGTCTTTCGCAAAGTTGGGCTGTTCGTTTCTCCGAGGCAGCTTCCATCACTTTCAGTATTTTACATATCCAAGCCACACAGCGTCTGCCTCGGAACAACTTACGAGGTGCATCACTCCTGTTGTTCAAGTCTGCAGTTTTCTGCAGCATCTGACAGAGCAGAAAGCGATGCTTTTCTGCGTGCAGTCATGTGCAGCAAAAGACCATGCCTCATCTGGATTCCCTCCAATGAACCTAGTCACGTGGCTGGTTTCCTGGCTAACTATGGATGTGGCACTAGGTGATGGCAGGCAGTTGTTTTGTCCCCCCCCCCTTCGCTCTACATAAGAAGATCACCTCTGCCCATATACATGCGCACCAGTATATAAATTGCTGAATCAGTGTCAGTGATAGAGTAATGGCACGGCAGGCATCGTAAATTACGGCAAGCGATCCCAGGGCGCAGACACTGGCTGTCGTGTCTGAGTGAGCGCTGCGCTCCTGAGCTAATGAATACCTTCATCTGGCCCCGGCAGTCAGCAGATTGCCCCGCGTTGATGGATACTGTCAGCCCTCCGCCACACCACATTTCATTGCACAATAAACATGGTTGTCAAAACCAAACAAAGTGAAATCAATTCATCCTGTACAGTGAGTGCATGCTAAATGAAATTAACGTACTGTGGGGTTCGGTGGCAGCAAAGGTAGTGTATTATTTTTGAATTCATGATGGCTTTCGGGCCAACAGCATTTGAGGGAGCTCAGCAAACAGAGTAAAACGCGGTGCTTGCAGAGGTAGAGAAAGTATTTCGAAAAGTAACAAAAATCTCTAATTTGGTGCATATTTTACAAGACTGTGAAATTAAAAGAACACAGGCGTCTAGATAGCAATGATGAGGAAACGCATTTATATATGGTTAAAAGGACATTTTGGCAACTGAAAATGAATCTAAAGTTATAGATAACTATGCATTTATTACCTTTCTCTGCATATGTAATGTTTAGTCTGTCTATTTAAGACAAATAGAGAGACCAGCAAACACCTGCAATTATATGAGTTTGACTCATAAGTAAATACACCTTTTTATTGGCCTTCCAGGTAAAGGAAGGGATCATAAATGTGGCTCTTTGGCTGTTAAACATGAGCTGCTGAAAAGTCAATTCATCTGCTTTTGCACTGTGAGAAACAGGCTTTTCTACTAGGTAGGTTAGACCTCAAGAATTCTTACCCTGTAAACAAAAACAAAGTTCCAGCACACCTTTATCTCTATTGTACTGCAAGTATGTTGCCTTTTTAAAAAGACTTGTCTCATATAATAATTCTGAAAACAGGACATGTTCTTTTGAAGCGAAGACACTTCAACTCTTGAGGCTGAAAATGCTGCAGTAATACCTTCAGTGATTAGAGCAGGGCGAGGCTTCTGTGGATTTGGAATTAATGTCTCTGCACAACCCTCCATTACTCATTAAGAGTTTGATTTTGTTTATCAACTGAAATAATAATAGAAATCAGACCCCAGGTAACGTGTGCCAAGGCTGCTAGTGGAATGGTCTAATGAGAAGGCTTCACATGTGGATGATGAAATATGCATGAGTCATCCCAAGCTTTCTTTTCCAGATTTGAGATCATTAAAGATGTATCGTAGCATATGGAAGGCTTTTTTTGTCTTATTTTTCAAGCCTTGTTTATCAACATATTTTTGTTTGTTTAAATATTCATACTGCTTTTATTTAATTCTTTCACATCTTACATATAAAAGGAAGCAAATGCGCATGCAAACAGAAATCATTATCAGTCTGATGTACAGTTTAATACTGAGAGAAACTCTCTTATGCTGATTGTGAATGCCCTGATTGAGAAACAGCACTTTGCAGAATCGGCACACTCTCCCAGCTAATGTGTGCTTGGTTTGTTTGTTTGTGTGCGTGCTTGAAGGAAAGAGGAAGAAAGTGAGAAACAAGGGGAGAAAGAAGTGTAAACCGAAGGGGTATTTTGTGCATATATATGTAAAATGGAGTTTGGCTTTTATAAAGATTTGCAAGAGTTTGTGTTTCCTCGCTTTTTCTTTCTTTTTCTTTTTTTTAAAGTCAGGCTCAAATCTTATATTTATGTTGGCTGTGAGTCTGAAATATATGTGCACAAGTAGAAAAGCTGGACTTGTGGACAGAGAACTGAATTATTCTTGAAGTCAAAGGGCTCCTCCTTGTTCTCTCTGTACTGCTTTTGGATAGACCCGATTTAAAGAGATCAGGTCCACCTTAAACGCCATATTCAACCCTGTAGACTCTGTTGAACAGTGTTTGCATCTCTGCACTCATTTGAAATAATTGTCATGATGGAGATAGCAGATGAAGGAGAGTTTAAACATGGCTTGTCACTTAATGTCTCGCCACGCTCTCTCTTCTTGTTCCTGCCCTTGTTTTTTCCGGGGTCCAAGGAAGTCAATGGCTCTGCAGATAAACCCCAACCCTATTATTGTTGGCCAACAGGAGGCGCTGGACCTACCGAGGCGCGAGTCTTCAGGGAATCTCGGGGAAGAAACAACAACGAGCCCCACATTAAAAGGCCAATGAATGCATTCATGGTGTGGGCCAAGGATGAGCGGCGCAAGATCCTCCAGGCTTTCCCCGACATGCACAATTCCAACATAAGCAAGATTCTGGGTAAGACTCTTTAAAAACATACAGCTGTGAGCACTTGACTTCTTTGCTTTATACAAAACTGATAATGATGCACCATTTATAGTTTAGTTTTGGTTTAGTTTTATAGTTTTGCTAGAACCACAGCTTGTTTCATAGCTTTTGACATGCTCAAGAGCACTGTAGTCAATCTGAGTTTTTCAATTACTAATGGTGTTTCTCCAACACTGACTTACCAGGCTTTTTTTCAGTTTTGCTCATTCTCATGGGTTTATTGCACTCGGAAAAGCATATATCTTAGAAAGTGTCTGGCGTCTAAAAAAGAGAGTATGCACGTTATCTCGTAGACCACTGTGCATCAGTTCGCCTCAGCATACAGATGGATTTATAGCCCATCACTAGCATAAGTGTTTGTCATGAAAAATGACAGAGACTAAATGGGTCTTGTCCCCTCAACACTGGAGTCCATACATCAGAGCTGTTAAAAGTGCTGTCATCCATGCCAGTGTAGGGCACTTCACCGAGCTGCAGTATTTACTACTCCAGCTTGTTGTTCCTTACTGTTTGACAGTAAGGAAAAAGCCTGCCTCTGGTTTCAGATAATGTGCACATGCAGAGCTATCAAGAGATTGTTGTGCAGCAGACAGTAAATCTATGCATGCAATTTTTCTAGAAAACGTCCACCCTTATTAGGGGTAACTCTGTATTAAATTAAATCTTGATGCAATGTAGTAAAAAGTAAAGGACTATGAATTTCACATTGCATTATTGGTTATTTTATATAAGTGCAAGGTCACCACCTCTCTGCTTATTTTGTTCAATTAGTGGTTATGTTTAAGAGCAATGGATTCCTGCAGTTTCCTACTATCACAAACAGTTTTTCTGGTTACTGAAAATCTGAATGTACTGTGCTGTGTAGGTTCCCGGTGGAAGTCCATGTCTAACCAGGACAAACAGCCCTACTATGAAGAGCAGGCTCGTCTAAGTAAGCTTCATCTAGAGAAGTACCCAAACTACAAGTACAAACCACGGCCTAAGAGGACCTGCATTATTGACGGAAAAAAACTCCGCATCGGAGAGTACAAACAGATGATGCGTTCACGGCGACAAGAGATGAGGCAGTTCTTTACTGTGGGGTAAGTACACAGTTGTGATTAGCCCAGTCTTGCCATACGTAATACACAAGAAAATGCAGAAAACATGTGCATGCAATGCAAAGCAGTGTTTGCAAAAGTGAACGCTGAGTTAACCACTGTTGCTAACTCAGCAGCTTAATTCAGAGGGTTACTAATAATTTAAGACAATAGTAATCTCCTGATGGAGCACCAAATACAGACATATATATTACATATATAAGCTCTACGTGTATATTTACGTAAGCGTGGACAGCAGCAGTCTAAGGCTTAACACTTTAATTTACTGTTTGTGGTTATCAGGAGAGTCCTTCTCCAGGTGTTCCCATGTCAGTCATAAGATTCAGTGGCTGGAGTATCAATTATCCAGCGCAAAAGCAGCAAAGAGCAGCAGGAGCAACGTATTGGTTTTATGTCACCAATAAACTGGGTAGTGTTTCTGAGCGGCTCAAAACGGGAGTTGTCAGGAGTACCTCTCTTTTTCCAAATCATTTTCACAGAGCTGCTGGCTTACAGCAGACTGCTGTGGGAAACCCGTAATCCAGCCATCTCAGTTTAAGTGCTGTAAGAAAAAAAATCACGCACTTTAGAGACATGTAGCCACCAACCTAAGCAGCAATCGCACTATGAGCACCACTGAGCGCTTTTTCCGTGTGCTCTTTTTCCGATTATGCTGATCACTTTTTAATCAAGTGCGTCGTGAAAACTGATTGCATTTAATATAAATGTATGTGTTTCTTATACATATAGGCAGCCACCGCAGATTCCCATCACCACAAGCGCCAGCATGGTCTACCCTGGGGCCATCACCATGGCGACCACCACACCCTCACCTCAGATGACATCGGAGTGCTCAAGTGCCTCAGCGAGTCCTGAGCCATCCATTCCCGTCATTCAGAGCACCTACAACATGAAGCTAGAGCCCACTGGCATGGTGAACAACAGCGAGCCGGTCAATGGCGAGGATGAAATGGACATGTACGAAGATTTTGAGGACGAGCCCAAATCAGACTATAGCAGTGAAAATGACACACAAGAGCCAGTCAGTGCCAACTGAGACCTTTTAACCGAAGAGGCCAGTGCAGAAACAGTACTCATACAGGAGGATGCCCAGAGGGCTGGTCTGATCTGAGGGAGGGAAAGAACAAAAGAAAACAAAAACTACACCACAAAAGGTTTGAACATGTTTAAAAAAATAATGATTTATCATATCGAAGCCAGCATGCAGCTGTGGCTTCATCTGAATCAAAAGCTATTTGGTCTTAAGTGTTTCTTTAAGTGTGTGAAGCAGTTTGGTTGTGGTAATTTATATATATATATATACATATATATATATATTTTTTATCTCATTGTTTATTTTTTGTTAAGATCATGGACATATAGACAATTAGGTTATTGCCTAAAACAAAAGACAACTTGAAATTACAACCTTTGATATGAACCTAGGTAATTCTTACTGTCATTTACCTTCTTTTCCTCTTCAATTAGATGATTTTGCTACATTACCTAACTGTTCAAGATGGGAATAATATTCTCACTCAGGTATAGCGTGCCAGCCAACAGCTTGTGAATGTTTTTAATCAAGAGATAAATATGAACAAAATATCTCAAAATGATAAGGAGTGATTCCAACGTAGTACAGAGGCTAATTACACATTATTATTATTACTATCAGTAATATTATTATTATTATTGTGTTTTTCTTTTTGTTATTACAAAACAACCTAATTTAGTGCGCAAGTGCCAAACATTTCAAGTTGTTTCAAGTCTTTGAGTCTTAGACAATCTCTTCATCTCTTAATGCAGCTTCATCATCCAGTCTTTCTTTAATTTACCCAAACAGAATAAACAAATTAAACTCAGGAACTTGGAAGCAGCAAGCTCTGCAGGAGGTTACAATATGTTACATCTGTCGACGGTAGCTTGTGATGCTAGCTGTTCTTTGGGGAGGCCAATGCAGTGATCATCAATGAAGCCAGCCCTTTCATTTCCTCATCCCTGTCCACACAGAGCACCGTGGCATCCTTCACTTATTTCCAGCTCTGCAGTCCACTCTGACTCACCAAGATCTTAATCAGAGTGATTGTAATCAGGCCAGAATGCTAAAGGGCCAAAGGCCTCCAATCTGTGGGATTGGAACAGTAGCGAAAGGCAGCTTTGGTGGCATTACAATCTTAAATTGATGTTGTACAATGTGTAGCTACAGTGCGCTCTGTTAAACACTTTAGCCCCATTTGGATGGCAAGTTTAAAGTCTTAGGTCTTAAAACGTAATTTTTTTTCTGATCTTAATTCTTTTTAGACATTGTAAATCTTAAACTGACACTAAGAAGTCTTAAAGGAGAGCACGGTCATCGGGTTGATGCAATGAGTTGATTACTGAAGTAGTCTTGAAAAGAAATGACAGTTTGCAAGGACATAGAGAAAAGACTCATATACAAAGGATAAAATACACAATTTTTTAATTAGTGCACTTATAAACCTTCTATCACCTATGAGGCTTTTGAAACATTTACAATAATCTGATCAGCTTTATACTGCTCTCATTGTTTGCACTTCAAAAAATACAGACTAAATGCAAGAATCAGAAAAGAGGCAACTCAGTCTTAATGTAAGTTTCAAACCTGACAAGTCCTGACCTTCCAGCGACGGCAGATAGATAAAGCTCATCTAGCGGTCAAGGTCTTGATGTTGAGACTCAGATCCTCTTTACAGGGCAGAAGGTCTAAGTGGCTCTCCTCCCTGCCATGCCCTGCTCTGACCCCAGCCTGTGGCAACCTCAGCACCCAGGGGGCGCCATCTGGCTCAGAGAAGGAGAAAACACCAGGGAAGGATGGGAAACAATAAAAATGGTGTGTGTGTCGCTCATTGTGCTCTCCATCAAAGTGCTGGAAATAAGGCCTCAACAGGGCTCCCACCCTGGCCCAATCACCAGGCACTGGCGAGCAGATGGAACAAGTACATCAAGCTGTGGGGGATTATTAAAATGACTGACGACTGGGTATCATCTGAAATACAGCATTATTAATGCATGAGTCCAGCTATTCCCCTCCCATGCCCTTGAACCTGTCCATTTCAGAGAGCGTGCAGAGCTTTTTTGGAGGACATGAATATCTCGTCACGAGCTTTAACTGGTCAAGACGCTCACTGCTGGTCACTGCATTTTTCTCCTAGCTCAAATTGGTACAGACGGTTCTTTAATGCTCTCTTATCTTCTGTACTCTTATTGTTATTACCCATCAGATGCTGGCTTATATCATTTAAACTTTTGGACATATTTATATTAAGTCATGTTTTCCCCTTTTTATTACCTCATAGATAATTCAGATTTTATTATTTTCCATTGCATCTTTTCTATATTGTTCTCATTTTGAGGAACACGTCATGAAGATGCTCTCCTACAAACAAACCCAAGTGGATTTCCCTCCAAGTCAACCTGTTTGGTATTTCTAAACTGTTTGCTCCTGTTTGCTGGCGGTTAGATGTATTTGTATGCGATTGTAAATATTTTCATGACTATGCCACACTACTTTAGTGGGCTGGTAGTTAAAAAGGACTCTTCATGGAACTGAAACTTGACTGAGCTTAAATAGCAAAAAAAAAAAAAAAAAAAAAAGGACAAAAAAAAAGAACAAAAAAAGAAAGAAAATAATGACAACGAGAACTCACAAAGAGACAATGTTTCATAAGTGTTATAAGCACTGGATATAAATTGTATTTTTATCTATTCTGATTAATGTGAAGCTGTTTTGAGGAAAAACAACACGAATGAACAAAATTCCCCAGTTGGACTCACGTGGGTTTGCTCTCACAGTTACCAGATTTGAGTCTTTTTTTTTTCTTCTTTTTTTTGTCTGCTTGTTTTGTTTATTTATGCAAAGACACATGTGATGAATGGACACTTTGTTTAATCTTCAGGGCTGCCTAGAGGAGAGACTCAGCACAAGAAAAGTGAGCAGGAAATTCAACAGCAGGCTCAGTGAGCCATGAAAAACCAGACTTCAGTGCATTGTATATTGCACGACATATTTATTGTTTGCCACTGCTGGCTCTAAAATTTTGAGTTAAAGACATCATGGACAATCAGATGAATAAAAAAAAAAAAGAACAAACAATTTAATGAATTGGAGCTAAACATAGTTTTCAGTTAATTCTCCATCTCATTAAGATTTAATTGTAAATACAACATAGGAAATATATTTTTGTTCATTAGTGAAGTATAAGTTATGTATTTGGCTGTTTTATTTTTTTTGTAGTATGTGGTTTCATGTTTTTAAAACCTGACAAGTCACTGTACCTCATGTAGATGCTTATTTTTTTCCTCCTTATTAGAAGAGAGCAGCACTGGTCCTGAAACAAAAAGACGAACCTCACTCGCTTATGTTTTCATGATGCTCCCCAGACAATTTGAATAATCAACGAAAGCTAAACTTGGTAACGAGTATGGTACTTATTCAGACAACAAGCACTTAAAAGAATTATTAAATCGTGTGTTTCCAATCATCATAGAACTTAAACGGTATGCTGTATAATGCTCACTTGTGCTTTGTGTTTAGAATAGCACTCATAGTATGTGGCACTTTTTTTAATGAGTGCAAAATCTGAAAAAAAAAAGAGTCTGCATGCATTTGGCTTGCATTGACATTAATGTAACAAACAAATGTTTTTATGAATGACTGCTTCAAACACAAATGATTTTTTTATTGTTTTAAATGTGGGAGCGTGCAAGTATTTATTTCAATTTATTTCAATGTGGCAAAATTCACAGATTGTGCATTCTTCTCAGTTAATTCTCTACTTGCCATCTTTTTGTATGTTGCCAATTTTTAATGAACATGTCCATGACTATCCAGCCATCCCGAAAACGTAGCCCTCACAATTTGTTTCTTTTCTTCCAATTGCTAGACTCACAAATGGTTTCAACATTACTTACTGTAATTTGATTATTTTTTTTTTCCGTCTGAAATTTGTGATGTGTATATGGTGGGAATGTTCTCTGTGTTAATTTAATCAGCACAATTCACTGACATGCTGGACTGACATGGTAGCTGCTGTTCAGAAGTGTAAACTTTTTTTGTTCAGGATGACATTTATAGACGTCTTTGGTACTTTGCTTTTTAGCGTTGTTTCTCAAGCAACACTGTGTGGGGCTCTTCTATCACTGGAGCCACTGTTTTGAAATTGCTGGCAGCCTGATACAATTTTCCGCCTAGAAATCTCTTATCCCCCCCCTCCTCTGGCAGGTACCTAGGCCCATGGAAAGTATTGTTTTGGCTGTTATTAGAGAAATGAATTAAATAGTGTCTGTTGCTGCTTTAAAAAAGTTTATGTCGGAATATGTAAATAGTTTATCATAATATCTTGTACAGTCCAATGTAAAGTTTTTAATTCAACTTAAAAAAAAATGTTGCCATCACGTTTGTGTTCACATTGTTCTTTATACAGTACAAAAGGTCAATTATTTGCTAGGGATATTATTGCTAAAAAGAAAAAAAAATTAAAATGTTACTTAGTTGTTTTTTTATTTTATATTTGTTTTGTTTTGCTTGGCTTCAAAGTGTACATCAGCAAGTCTTTGGTTTCCATGTGCAGTATTGACGTGAGGTAAACTTAAGGTGAATAATTTTACATTGGTGTGTGTGTGGAAAGCAATTTCTTTGGCTTTGGTAGTATTAATACACTATATCAAGTAAAAACAAACCGATGATGGACACACTGGGTGCATCTAGGCACCTTAAGAATGTGTATACTGTATATGATTAAATTGTCCCCACAGGATCAATTCAGACATATTGTAACACCATATTTCTGTAATATCTCTGTCCATTGTAACAATGCAGCAGTGGGCTCAATAACTGCCTGTTTTAGCTCATTTACCTCAAGAAGTTCCTCCTTTTCTGTAAAAGAGACAGAAATTGTGTTACAAAAAGCTCACATCACTCCATCTTTTGTACTGCTGTTGACACTTACAAATTAAAGAGACATTTTGTTTTAAGATTTGTGTAATCATTTGTATTGTCGAGGCGTTTGTTACATTCTTTAAGTCTGCAATGTAATTTAACCGAGGGCTGGGGAACAGTTAGCTGATGTCGTTTTACACCGTTGGCATCATTGTGCTCCACAATGACAGCAGTATATGAATCTCTTTTTTGGGGGGTAGAATCGCTGTCTTCAACTGATAAGTCAATTTTGATGCTCAAGTAATCAAACTGAAGACAATTATGGACATGAAATCAAACCAGCCTTGCTGTTTTGATGACACTTCTTCATTTATAACATTTTAAGAAAGTTTTGAGAGAGAATTCAACATTTTTGGTCTCTGCCTGATGGAAACAGATGGATGGATGTAATCATTTTATAATAACATTGTATACAACTGCACTGGATTAAGGATGTTGCCAGAGCTGATACTTACAGTACCTTTGGATACCAAAATTCTGAAAACTCCAAAGTACTCATTTCTTTCAGTAGAATGTAGGGTTATTAAATAATTGATACTTGGATGGAAACCTCCATCTTTACACACACTGCTGGACACAGAAAACCATGTGAACAGTAGCACAAAAAATCTTTGTGAAGCATCTTAAAGACATCCTGGTCTTTATGAAGAATTTCATGCACTCCTTATAGCCCCTGTTTTGACACTGACGTATTAAAGCATTATCATAAACATTAATCTGGCCAGTTAACGGTTAGCAATTATTAATATTACCCATCTGTTACGTTATTATTAAGGAAATGGGTAGCAGCTAATAATTACATGATAACATTAACGTAAGAGCTAGTCTGCAGCCATCATTAGTCCTGTGCCTCTGTAACAATATTAATTTAATCTGTTAATTTAACAGGATAACACAACCACTTGTGAATAAAAGTAGTTATGGTCCCAGATTAAAGCTTAGAAAGGTACAACAAGGTAGAAACATTTCAACCGAACTTACCAACTCGTTTTGGTCAGCAACAAAAATATGTGAATAGAAACATGACTGAAGACGATCGGTATGCGGACCTCTTTCATGGCAAAACCATGGCATATGTGTTTTTGGACCCCATCAATCCCTTTACCAATGGTCTCTGCATTCAAGTCTATCAACCTTGTTTACCTCAGTACCAGCATTTTCTGAACCAGGATTTGACTGACATTACAATTTTCCTTACTATTTCAACCTTAGAAGGGGGTGTGCCAAGAAGGCCAGTCTCTGTAATAGCACCCTGAGTTTGGTGGCTTTAAAGAAGAAGAAAAAGAAGACCGTATATAATCTTACTGGCATTATAAATTAAGACAATTCGAATATTCAAGAACAGAAGGCTACCGTTAGCACCTCTAATGTTAGCAACACTCCAGTTTATCAGCCTTAATTTAAATTTTCATTTGTTTGAGTAGCAAATTAAGTTGTTATAAACACATCAAAACCTCTTCTTTTGTACACCCTTGCTGGAATACTGGATGGCTTGTGCAGCCATAGCAGACACTGATACATCAGTGGGTTAAATGGACATGAAGTGCAGGTGGCTGTGGCAGACTGGCAGTTTTACTTGTTAAACCTCTTAAGACACAAATTTCAGGAGGCAAAAAGGGCAAACAGTGGTGAGCTCACCTTTATCAGCCAATCAAAAACCAAAACTATCCCTATGCAGTGACTTTTTTTTAACTAATCACAGTCAAAATCACAGCCTGTTCCTTCAGGAGAGACAGACCTTTGCTGGTGTATGTTGAAGGATAAACAGCAACACAGCTAACTGGTATCAGTTTAATAGAAAGAGAAATAAAGGGTATAATTGATAAGACACAACATACAGTTTGTTAGGTTCATCTCGAAAGAAGGATTTGTGCCTGGTTTGGTTTTAAGAACAATCTGTGAAAGTACACATTCAAAGGTTCCTTGACCTCATGAAAGGCATTCAGAGGGCTCGTAGCGTGAATGTGTGCGTGTGCGTGTGCCTATTGAGACAGGTGTTTGTGTGTGTGCCAGAGCCAGAGGTCATCGCGAGACTTGTAAGCCCAGGCTATGCCCATCACTCTTCACTGGATCTCTGCCATCTAATGCTCATTATCATCATAATAATCATGAGTTCTACACCCTGCTTCCTTCATCATGCACGGGGTAAAACACTGCAAATAAATTTGAAGTCAGTGTTATTACAAATCAGCATACACTTACTGTTCTAGCTCAGTGCTAGCCTATTCATCTACAGAAAAGGAAATCAGTTCAACAAAATATAACTGCCTGGACCTAAAGTCTTTTTTAACCATTCGGGAAAATTTGTTGTCCTAATCATTCACTTCATCTTTTACCACTCCTTCCCAAGAGCAAAGGAAAACTACAGTTAACGGCTGTGTCTGTAATAGATGCCTGTGTAAGCGCTCTCTAGCAGTAAATGGAAAAACTAGACATATACTTTGCACAGTAAATCTTAATAATTTCCCCAGCCTGCATGAAATCTAATAGCATAGACAAAGCTCTTTGCTTCGGGTATTTGTCTTTACATTACTGTTCATGTCGCGTGTGTTACGGTTTAACAGGAGTTTAGTTTTTAGTTGTAACTGTAACACTCCGTTTTTATTTTTAAATCCTATGTGAATGAATTTTATCTACAAATAATTAAATAAGAGGTGTGAGGACTAACTGGCGGGCTGGTTGGCTGAGGTAAGTAAAACTGCTGTTTGTAAGTGGCCTTTCTGAATGAACTGTCACTGTGGTACAAAGATGTGTATGTGTGAACAGCGCACAATAATTAATACCGCAATTCTGTCGTGTAGCGGCGGGGCGGCTATTTCACAACTCTGATGACTAAACACCGGAGGGAAGGAAAGCAGTGAGGGGCGCTTGGAACAATATTTTACTCATTTGGATCTGCTCAATGCTACAGCCGCTGCACCCAGTGAATCTGTCAGACAGCACCATTTCCCCAAGAACAGCTGCTATTTATCTGATTTTCTCATTAGATTTGACTCATGACTTCTTTGTACTGGCTTTGGCAGACGTACTGCATGCCTAGGTATGGCTCTTTTAGTGAAGGCTGAACTCCCTGATGTTACTGTATGTAAAAATATGTAACACAAAGCTTCTCTTTTCCTGGTATTCAAGCTTCGGTTTAAGTTATCGTAAAAACCGTTTTATTCCTATTTGTTTCTGTGGTTCTCAGACAGATGTTTAGCATTTTTTTTGCTTCTTATTTCAATCCAATTCAAGTGCAGGTGAAAAAAAGAGGGGGGGAAAAAGAAGCTGATATTGATCTCAAGAGTCATCAAACATGCATATGAGAACAGTATGTAAGAACAGTCCACACCCTTAGCAATGTTTTAATCCTTGGAGGTGAAGGACTTAGGAAATCTTGCTAATTTCACAGATGGTTTAAAATAGATTAGTGTAGAGTAGCAGCTCGCAGAGAAGGGCTGACCCACCAGGCTCCCTGTGCAGCTGCCAAAACCCTGCGCCTGATGCTCAGAAGTGCCTTCCAAAAGTCCTACAAGGTTAAACTCAAACTTAAGTATCTTGAAAATTTGCGAACATGGTTATAAGCTTTTCTGCATCTTTGACGAACTTCATCCTCCTTTTGTTCACAGTCTAAAAAAAGATTAGGTCAAAGTCTATTTCTTAGAAATATTTCTGACTTTATGAAAGACAGCAAACACCTCTTTCAATTTTGGTGTATGGTAGAGGTAACGTACATGTCAAAGCCACATTTAGTGGCTGTTTAGTTAACTGTTGTTGTTTTGGTTGTGTATGTGTTTGCCTGTATATCACCTTGGGAAGTTCAGCTTTTCCTTTTTACTTCCTGTTGCTGAGTAAAACAATGCACAAGGCTTTCACTCTGAATCAAATTTGTCCTTTTTGGCCACAGAGATGAATCTCACTTCTAACAGTACTTTGGGTTCTTTCTCTTTAGATATTTTGTACAATGCATCCAACAGCCATTACAATGAAATAAAGGAGTGACTCAGTGCATGGTATTTTGAACAGGCCAAGCCTGCTGCTATAGTTGGTCTGTTTCCGAGTAGGCCTGACACAACTCTGGCCTAGCTGAAAAGGCCCAGCTTGGAGTTAATGTGAAAAGACAATTGCATAGGATGAAAAACTCGACATGGTTTTGTTGGACTTGTCATTCTTTGGTGCATAGCTGTGAGGAAAGCCTAGGAACCATCTCAATGTTATTTGTGCTTTTTGACCCATATTTGGGACAGCTTTCACAAAGCCCTTGTGAGAATGTTGAAACAATGGAGAGGCCCTTTCAAATGAGGGACAGGCCACAATTCCGGCCAAGCCATCTTGGACCTGCTTCATTGAAAGAGTTTGTGTCCAAAAGGCTGACATCATAGCAAAGCTAATGGCCCATTTAGCCATGCTGAAAAAAGGAAATGATAATGAGCTAATGATTTTTATTAATGTTAATTTAATTATGAATTATTATTATTATTCTGCATTCAAAGATACCTAAAGAACAAGGCATCATGTCACAGACTCAAATTTTAAATGTAATACATGAACCCCCCAAAGATAAAATTCCCAAATATTAGATTTATTTTAAAAAAAATTAAGTTATTTATTATTTTGCCACGAGTGATGTCACATAGACACATATTCTTCTCAAACAGAGATGATACTGAAAATATATTTCTGTCTCTGTAAATCAGATTTTCTGAGCACAGTTGTTAGGAACACTGGGTTGCTAAATGAACTTTTGAAAATCCACATGGGACAATATTTCAGAAAATGTAATTTTGCATATGTTTCACATCATTGCATCTCCTCAGTGCATTTGTCTCCCAAAGCATTTGACTGCACGTCTGTAGGGAAGAATGAATGCGTAATGTTTTTTTAAAAGCATCTCTGCTCCCTCAGCTTTTTTGAAAAATTTAACAAAAAAAAGATTTTTCTTTCTTGGAATATGCGTTACTCTCGCTAAGCTATCACTGAGCTCTCTCATGCATATGTGAATTACACACCTTTATGAATATGGAAATGTTGCGAGAATGCCTCATTAATTAGTAATTC